AAAACTGGGACTTGGTTTCACGTTCTGTCACAGTTCTCGTATCTAATCTTCTGCAATGATCTGGAGCATCTATTTGTGTACTCAACTCAGGCCTTGCAAAGCTGAAAAATTAGCAGGTGATTTACAGGACCAAAGTTAGGCACTAAAACGTCTTAGGAAAATGCAATTAGGTGCTTCTGAAGGGTAATCCAAAAATCCTGCTCTAATTGTAAAGCAGTTGAGAACTACTCCCTAGGAAAAAAAAATTTACAAACCTAAGTGGTCCCTTCTAAACTACTCCCTAGTGAGGCTGCACCTTTACTCCTGCTGCCACGGGAACTTAGGTCTGTCCATTAAGGCATCACAATGCATCAGGGCATTAGACCACAAAGTCTGCTCCTGAGATTATGCATCCAGTTGAACACGGAGAAAAAGAGGAAAAGCTGCCACATGTAACAGCCTAATAGCTGGAGCACTGACAGCAGAAGTGTAAAACTTGATCACAGTTCTCCTTCATCTTGAGGAGATTCCAGTTCTCACTTCCCACTCCTCTAGAACATGTAGGGTCGTCAGACTCGAAACTACCCTGCTGAATTTCTACCTTAGTGATGAATCATAAGATCCTGGAGGATGAGCAGACAACTCTAAAGTTCTGCCAAACATCCAGGGTCCCAGCCTTTGGTCTTGTCTGGACTTTTCCTGCATGGACTGCCAGGACAACTCATGCAGACAGCTTGTTCCTAAAAGACACCTTTTAGTCCTGTAGTGCTAGCAGTCCCCTCCTGTCCATGCTCTCTGCCCTCACGCCCCACCACATGGTAAATGTACAAGACTCCTGGGGAGGGAAGGCAGGATGGGGAAATAAGACAAAACACAGCCCACAGCCCATTCCTCATTGGAGTCTCCTTAAAGATTCGTAACTTGCTCTGGCACAATAAAACCCATTCTAGCCTCTTCACTCCTTCGAGACAGGAATAACTAGTGGACAGGCAATGTTTTTTCTATGCATGCACAAAAAACAGCCCTTTGGAGAACCATGGAACCAACCGTGTTTGTGCTAAGGAGTTGTATTGCCACAGTGTGTGCGCATCGGTAGGAGAGTGGAAGGGACACTGCAACAATTTGCATGGCCTACCAAACTGTCAAGACGAGGCATCATCATATGGGAAAATCACTGGATTAAAAAAAAAAAGTATGGAATTATTCCCTGAAGACAGAGACTAGACTATGACTCCTTCCATATTCCTGCATGAGTGCTTGAACCAATTACTCACCCTCTTGCCTGCTCCTTTCCTTGCCCATGGCTCTTGCATTCTCTACTGTTGAATGTGCCAAGCTAAACTCGGGAGGGAGCAGGAATTTTCAGCTTTCTTGTCCCCAAGAATGTAATGGTTGCAATTAAAGATGTGGCAAACAGAGCTATGACCCTCTTCTGTTGGAAAAGCCAACTGAGGATAGGTTTGCTATGTCTGAAATAGCTGGTTTTATACATAAAGTGGGCAGTCACAGACTGTAGTTTTGACTGAAAGTGGCTGCCTCTGTTGTGCTTGATCCTGGTTTCAGAGCTATGCTCTGAGCACTCCAGTGAGGTCAGGGTTTTCTAGGGATCCAAATGATCTCTAGATATTGACAGAGTCCAGTCAGTGCATGGTTCCCTCACTTCCCAGAACACAACACTTCCTTACAGGTATCTGTGCCTAGCTGCAGAATCATGTGTAGGCTGAATATGGAGACAATTTGAGAGCTATACATGCTCCCAATATTAAGTAGCTCTGGAAAGCAGGATTTCTTTCAATTAGGCATCTTAGTTTTTCCTAATTCCCAATTCAAGTGTCAAGATAGATGTTATGAACATCTCCGTGGACTTCTCTGAAACTTACCTACCCACTTCCTAAAGCAGGACTCACAGAAGTGTGGTGAGGATAAGCATTAAGTACAGCAAGACCTAATAAGATCACATAAATAAGACAGATCATTCCAAGATAAATACCAGGCACATCCGGAATCTCATCAGTACAAAAAGCAGCTGTAATGCATTCAGATAAAATAGTTTTAAATTAAAACTTGACATTCATATGTCATCTTCCACACATGCCTTACAGACCACTGGAAGAAAACACGTTATCCACTGACCATGGGCTCTCTCTAAAAACATCACCACCAAAGACTGCTTGGACTCTGCATCAGCAGTGGAACTGAGGTGATGAGCTTTCCCTGGTATCTGTTCTAATCTGGGAGTTAAGAGAGGTTGCATAGCACCATCAGCAAGATACATGGAGGAAGCACAGTTTACACTGGAGATTGATTTAATGAGTTTTTATAAAGTCTTTTATGTCAAAACCGGCTTATGATAGCCTCATCTAAGACAGGATCTAATATCAATAAGAGTATGCAGCATCTTGTTATCTTTCCACATTTACCATTCACACTCTCTCTGAAGTTATCCAGAAAAATTGTGCTTTGTGGGAGCCACCAGGCTCAATTTTTTTTTGTCTATTTCAGTTCTGACATTTAAATTTATCTCAAACTAACTAGGGGTGGGAAGTGACAATTTTATTTCATAAAACCCTTTGAAGTTTGGACAGGAACAGAAACATATCTTCCAGCATCTTCACAAAAATAATTTCAAAACATGTATTTTCAGATCTAAGTTACAGAAAAGTGTCTGTAAGAGCTGAGCCTGGCATGGGAGATTCATGCATTTAACTTCTATTTCCAACTAGAAATCCTCATCAGATCAAAAGACACCAAATATATAAATGTACAAGAGCTTAAACACAGACAACCTACCTCCCAAGCCAGTGCACTAACCCACATATAACCTTCTGAATGGTGATATTATTGAAACTCTATCACAAAGCTTAGTGAAAATACAACAGGTTCACTTCATTAGTTATATTTACTGGGAAAAGTTCCCATCTTGCTCCAGCTGTAAGCTACAGAATTAAGCACAAAACTGAAGGAAAGCAATAGTTACCAGTGAGAAATCTTCCTATTATCCTAAACACTAGAGGAAAACATTACTTTACAAATCTAGGCCCAGATCAGAAGCTGTCAATCCCATCACTTACATGTTGACTTCTTAAGGAAAAGACCACATAAAATGGCAGCTCTTGATGTGAACTTCCCAGCTGGGTTCTTGGACTGCAGAAATTTTTGTATCCTTTTGACAACTCACATAACTACATACCAAGCATAACGCTGTAAACTGATTTAAGGGATATCTTCCCTCTGAGCAAAGGTGCAGCATAAACAGCTCCATTAACCAGCTCACCACTTAAGATTGATACAAGTGCATAAAGCAGGTGTTAAATAGACCTTGTATTAATCTCTTCAATCTGGAATGAATTTTACTGCCAATACACAGACAGATGTTTTTAAGATACATACAATCATTAATAGTCTGTATCAAGATCAGAGGCTGGAAAAATATGAACCCAGCGTTTTGACTGCTTCACATCTGATTTCACAGAGTCATAGAATCATCAAGGTTGGAGGAGCCCTCTAAGATTCCTAAACCCAACTATTAGCCTGCCACTCTGCTGTAACCCTTAAACCCTAAACCATATCCTTCAGCCTCAGATCCAGACACATTTGAAACACTTACAGGGATGGTGACTCCACCACCTCCCTAGGCATCCTATTCCAGTGCCTGAACACCCTAACAGTTTTTTTCTAACATCTAATCCTCATGTCCTCTGTCTCAGCTTATGGCCATTCCCTCTAGTCCTCTCACTGCAGGCATGGCAGAAGAGACCATCCCTCTCTACAACCCCCTTTCAGGCAGTGGTAAAGAGCAATGAGGTCACCCCTCAGCTGCCTCTTCTCAAGGCTAAACAAACCCAACTCCCTCAGCTCAGCCATTCACAACATGTTCTAGACGTTTTATGAGCCTCGTTCCCCTTCGCTGGACTCACTCCAGTGCCTCCATGACCTTTTTAAAGGGAGGGGAGCAAAACTGAACACAGTACTTGGAGGTGTGGCCTCACCAATGCCAAGTACAGGGGAATGATTCCTTCCCTGGTCCTGCTGGCACAACTGTTCTTGATACAGGCCAAGATGCCATTGGCCTTCTTGGCCACCTGTGCACA